TTAACTTTTACCAATGTAATTTTTTGATAAGATACTAAGACTTTTACTCAAGTAATATTCCTAAAGCAGACTTTAACTTTTACCAATGTAATTTTTTGATAAGATACTAAGACTTTTACTCAAGTAATATTCCTAAAGCAGACTTTAACTTTTACCAATGTAATTTTTTGATAAGATACTAAGACTTTTACTCAAGTAATATTCCTAAAGCAGACTTTAACTTTTACCAATGTAATTTTTTGATAAGATACTAAGACTTTTACTCAAGTAATATTCCTAAAGCAGACTTTAACTTTTACCAATGTAATTTTTTGATAAGATACTTGTACTTTTACTCAAGTATTACTTTGTGGTAATTTATACAACACTGGACATTATAAATGAACATACATGTCCTACCTGTGTATGTCACACTTTAATTATAAACTTCAATCATYAGAAATTACACCAAACAGATTAATCAGACAGACACATTTCACGCTCCTGACTGCAGCAGATTTTTTTGTTGTTATTTTGGTCACACATGTTTGCTTTTCCAATCAGGAGAACTAAATAAGCTGAACGAGAACAAAAACAACACTAAGTTAAAGTGAACAAGATGGAGTCAAGTACGTGAAAACAATTCACTGCCTTCCCATTACTCCACAATCTCCCTTATCCCCTCTCTTATACTCTCTGGTCCACACACACACACACACACACACACACACACACACACACACACACACACATGCTTCAGCAGAGGCCACACCTCCAGCAAGAATTGCTTCTCTATAGCAGCGAGTCCAGACCCTCGTACGAAGCAAAGTGAAGGACAAGGGTCTGGTTTTTACCAGGCTATTATATAACCCATTTAAAACCATAATGAATTAGGCTAAAAACTCTTGGAAACCATAAATCCACTTGTGGACATTACTTGTGCAAAAATTCATGCTGCTAAAGTTAACTGGAGCAAAGTTACAGAGGTTTAAATAAAGAAATAATTTTGTGTTTTGTCATTCTGCACAGGACGGGCCAGGTAGGTACCATTAGTAAATGTTAAGTTTCTAAATGCAAAAGTAATTTTTTATACCTGACTTAAAAGACTTGTTACTGAATGTTTGTTCTTTTGAAAAATTATCCAAACATTTATTTTGTCACCGTATATATTGTATGAAATAATGATAAATTATATTTAGAATTATATTCAGTTGGACCATATTCACTTAAAATCAAGTAAAAAAAATTCAACACACTTTACAACCTATTTACACTCACCGGCCACTTTATTAGGTACACCACGCTAGTAACGGTTTTGTGGTCATAAAGGAATGGACATGGTCAGCAACAATACTCAGGTAGGCTGTGGCGTTGCAACGATGCTCAATTGGTACCAAGGGGCCCAAAGAGTGTCAAGAAAAGATTCCCCACACCATGACACCACCACCACCAGCCTGAACCGTTGATACAAGGCAGGATGGATCCATGCTTTCATGTTGTTGACGCCAAATTCTGACCCTACCATCCGAATGTCGCAGTAGAAATCGAGACTCATCAGACCAGGCAACGTTTTTCCAATCTTCTCTTGTCCAATTTCYATGAGCTTGTGCAAATTGTAGCCTCAGTTTCCTGTTTCTTAGCTGAAAGGAGTGGCACCCGGTGTGGTCTTCTGCTGCTGAAGCCCATCTGCCTCAAAGTTCGACGTACTGTGTGTTCAGAGATGCTCTTCTGCCTACCTTGGTTGTAACGGGTGGTTACTTGAGTCACTGTTGCCTTTCTATCAGCTCGAACCAGTCTGCCCATTCTCCTCTGACCTCTGGCATCAACAAGGCATTTCCGCCCACAGGACTGCCGCTCACTGGATGTTTTTTCTTTTTCGGACCATTCTCTGTAAACCCTAGAGATGGTTGTGCGTGAAAATCCCAGTAGATCAGCAGTTTCTGAAATACTCAGACCAGCCCTTCTGGCACCAACAACCATGCCACGTTCAAAGGCACTCAAATCACCTTTCTTCCCCATACTGATGCTCGGTTTGAACTGCAGGAGATTGTCTTGACCATGTCTACATGCCTAAATGCACTGAGTTGCCYCCATGTGATTGGCTGATTAGAAATTAAGTGTTAACGAGCAGTTGGACAGGTGTACCTAATAAAGTGGCCGGTGAGTGTAGGTATCTGCTTTGACTTACTTTGACATTTACAAATCTGTAAATGTCAAACCTTTTACATTTACAGATTTGTTTGTTGGATGTAAATATAGTTTCAATGAGCCTTTAGCCAAGATTCTTAGCTTTCTGTTGATATCAAACATGTCAAGGTTCAACTTAAAAATCTTAAGTTATCAGAGGTTAAAAGATATAGAAAATGGGAAATTCTGTTTTTGAATATGGTAGTTTTTTCCCCTTTTTCATTATTGTTTATTTTTTTCAGAAGGGACAGCACACATTACAGAATATGCCAAAATTAGCCATGAAGGCTTGTTTTACATGTAGTCCCTCAGGGTACCATAAACATAAATACATTACAAGTTAATTGGATTCTTCCATAAAGAAATTACTAAAAACATATCCAGTAACATGTTTAAAAATAATAAAAAGCCATATTTCAGTCAGGATAAAAGGGTGGCAGAAAGTTTGTCAGATTTTGTCAAAGTGTGTTGTTTTTTATGTTTTTTTATCTTTTGGTTGTTTAAATAAATAAGTAAAGTTAGTGGTACTCAAATGGAGAAAAACAATGAACTCAAAAAGTCTAAAGAACTGCCTGGAGAACAGTTTCACAGTTCTGTGCCTTATTCATTGTATGTGTTGTGTTTGTGTCCGCAGGATGAACGAGGAGCAGATAGCCACAGTGTGTCTGTCGGTGCTCAGAGCTCTGTCCTACCTGCACACACAGGGCGTCATCCACCGAGACATAAAGAGCGACTCCATCCTCCTGACCAGCGACGGGAGGGTAAGATGATGAGTGTTTTTTTGGGTGGATCTGCCTCTCTCACATGCCTTGGCGTTAAACAGTTTACTTAAACGTACTCCAGACATCGATCTCCTACCCACTCGCTCTCTCGCTCCACGACCTTCTTCCTGGGTGTCGTTTTTCACTTGTCAACAGCCAGTGCCAGAAACTCTTTTAATTCATCAATTACCTCTCGCACCCCGGTAATTAAATCCCGCATAATGCCTCCTAACGAGTTGATAAGACGTGATTAATTGAAGCACGATAAGACGTTAACAAGGCAGATTAGTGACTTGTGCGGGAGCTCTTCATCACAGAGGGTCAGCACTTTTTCCTGCATGTCCATGCATCTAAAATCACACCTGTGCATGTCTGTGTGTTCGCAGATCAAGTTGTCAGACTTTGGCTTTTGTGCCCAAGTTTCCAAAGAGGTGCCCAAGAGGAAGTCGCTGGTGGGCACGCCCTACTGGATGGCTCCGGAGGTCATCTCAAGAATACCTTATGGGACTGAGGTGAGAACTCCTGGCACAGATGTTTCCATGTAGACGGCAAGAAATGTTTTAGACATACTCAGTCTGAAGGTGGTTTCTGTGTCCAGGTGGACATCTGGTCTTTAGGGATAATGGTGATTGAAATGGTTGATGGAGAGCCCCCTTACTTCAATGAGCCCCCACTGCAGGCCATGAGGAGGATACGAGACAACCTGCCCCCCCGGCTAAAGGAATCACACAAGGTAAGAAAAAAATTTAAAAATCTAGTTTATCTAAAAAAACCTAAGTGGTGGKTAGACAAAATTCCAAATTAGGGATTGAACAATACATTCTTAAATGGCTAATTTCCCAAATAAACAAACAAAAAGTACACGTCACCATTGTTCATCAGCAACAAAGACCAGACAACCTTCAATAAGGCATTTTTGCATTTTAAGGCCCGCCCCCACTCCAGTCAGCCCGGCCTTACTACACTCATATTTGCATTGAGGAGAGAGCTACCTTGATGTGAATCTTACTTCGTTTTATTTGAGACAACAAAAATAATATACACCAAACTCAAAGAAAAAGTACTGAAGGCTGTACCGGACCATCCAGCAGTATGACACTAGGACCACAGAAAACACTAAGCTAATGGTTGCTAACGTTAGCTTGTTGTTGTTTGGTAGCTTGCTGTTGTTTAGTTAAAACTTGTGTGAAATAAAACATTTCAGTTGCTACAAACGATTCACGTAAAGTTGCTCTCATCTGTTTGACGTAACACAGCCACCCAACCCCGGTCAAAGACGAAATTATTGAGCGACAGTAACTGACGTCAAATCGGGTCAAAACAGACCAGCCTGGATAAAACCATGGGTCTCAGGGTTCCAGAGATTGTGTTGGAACTGGTCTGTATGGGATAATGCAAACACACTTGAACCTGGGTTTGAAGCCAGGCTGGTCCAGCCGATTCGGATGTTATCAGTCCATTAAATGTACGTTATTAGCTGTTATCAGTCCCATAGAATGGCTTCAGACTGTCCCAACAGTGCCCCCTAGTGGGTTACCAGTGTCAAATACATTGGAATGCAACAATCTGCTACCGCCGGAGTCCGGTCTACTTTATCGTAGCCCATGTCATTTTCTCTAAAATTAACCTTAGTGGTTTTATGCCTCATATTAACCAGCTGACAGTCTGAAGCCATTCTATGGGACTGATAATGGCTAATAACATCCATTTAATGGATGATAACATCCGAAGCGGGTGGCTGGTCTGGGTTGGCTCGGGCCAGGCTTTGCGGTGCAAAAAAGGCCTAGAGAGGAGGTACAGCAAACACCAGCAAAACAAAGGAGCTCATTGTGGATTTTGTGGCTCATGGAAAATGCAAACAATCATGCATGACACTGCGGACATTAACAGTACGGCTGTTGAATGTGTCTCCAGCTTCAAGTTCTTGGGGATCCACATCAGGCCTGTCCTGGAAAATCAGCTGTCCTGGTGAACTGTCATCACTGATTGAGTTTATTCTGACCAGTAATGCAACCGTAGGGTCTGCACGTCCACTCTTTACAGATATGTTGCATCGAGTTTGCAGTGTTCTCAAGGATTCCTCCCACCCTGCCCCTAAACTATTTGCTCGCTTGACCCCCGGTTGGCATTTCATCAGGCCTACAGACCAAAACCAGCTGGCCTCCACATGTCCCATCAGAATTATCGTAATTGGCTCTCGTTGGAGTTGCTTGACGTGTATCGCAGTGGAAGGGATTTCCCAAGAGTTTGAAACGGTGTGTCTCGGGCTATGAAAGGCGTGTGTGACCACCCGCTTCGGATGTTGTCATCCATTAAATGGATGTTATTAGCCGTTATCAGTCCCATAGAATGGCTTCAGACTGTCAGCTGGTTAGTATGAGGCATAAAACCACTAAGGTTAGTTTTAGAGAAAATGACATGGGCTACGATAAAGTAGACCGGACTCCGGCGGTAGCAGATTGTTGAATTCCAATGTATATGGCACTGGTAACCCACTAGAGCGCACTGTCGGGACAGTCTGAAGCCATTCTATGGGACTGATAACCGCTAATAACCCATTTAATGGACTGGTAACATCCGAACCAGCTGTGTGCAAGTCGACAATGAACATTGAACAATATATCATATGTAACATAGTATTACAATAATACATATTCTGCCCTTGCTATCTATTGTACTACTGGTTAACTGACAAATAGCATTTAGTTGTTTTTTGTACTTGTGGAATTGGTGCCAGAAAAAAAATAGTAGTATGGAAAGAAAATGAGTAGAACCTCAATCCAAACACAACAAACTCTTACATCTTTTTAACAAACACTTTGAATATAATGCATTTTATCTTCAATCTTTCTTTATATTCAGTCTACTCATGATATCCCACATGCATTTCATTGCTAAAAACTATTAGGACTTTGTGTTGTCTTATGTTGAGCAAAGAAGACTGATGACTTTTGATTTATTTTTGTAAGTTATCTTTCAGCACTAACTGAATCCAATAAAAATTCACACATTTATCTGATGAGTCTTTTTAATAAAACCGCCATATTTTCAGGTTATGAGTGAGTCTTAATGACTTCGATGATAAAGGTATAAAAGCTAAAATTCCACTTCTGCGTGTCCCGCAGGTTTCCACTGTCCTGCGCTCCTTCCTGGACATGATGCTCGTGAGGGAGCCGTCACAGAGAGCCACTGCCCAGGAGCTCCTCCAGCACCCGTTCCTCAAGATGTCCGGACCTCCTTCGTGTATCGTCCCCCTCATGAGACACTACCGCCACCGCTGACCCCCTTCCTCCCCCATGTGGCTCAAACCTGCTCCTTTTGACACTGAAGACACTCATAGACACTCCCTTTTCAGGGTGGCACTGCCCTCACCCTGCCAAGACAACCCCACCGCTCAGTGGCARGCCACTAACACCTATAACCGTGACGTAGATTAGCTAGTGGCGTATGTTTAAAGTGCACACACAGAGACCAGAAGAACATTACTGTCGACAGTTTTAACTTTTGATCTGAAGGAAAAAGAGCGTTGGAGGAACTCGGGCTGGTTCGCACCGCTGCAGTCTTCTTTCTTCCCAGACTGAGAGTCTTCAGCTTCACGTAAGACTCGTCGAAGCCAATCAGCCTTCCAAGAAGGGTGCGCTGAGTTGCGGACGGACCTCAGCGACCCCTCTGCCCCACCCCCTCCCTGAGCAGAACAGCAGAGATTCGAGCAATCAGCCTTCGAGGAGCGAGGTACCCGACTCCCACCGGACAGAGACGATCCCTCTCTCTCTTTGCACCTCTCGTCTCACACACTGAAAAAATAAAAAAATGTTATTTTAGGAAAAAGAAAAAAAAAACTTGTAAGATTTTTCTGTACAGTTTTGATAACTTGCAGTATTTTATCGTGTCGTAACCATTGTGATATGAGCAGTATTAAATAGAGTTTCTGCAGAGATCTTTCCTACTGTTTATAATCCAGTTTTTGCTTAAAGATATAAGAAGATATTCCCAATAAATTTACCTAAACTTCACTGTTACTAAGAATGAAAAAAAGAGAGAAAAAAAGCACTGAATATATTTATGAGCTCACATTTGTAGACAGAACTTCCATTAAATGTTGGGGGGGGAAGGTAATGTCAGAATTTTGTATGACATTTTTAAGTATTTATTTATTTATTGGAATTTGGAAGTATATTTTTATTTGTAG